CTCTTAAAAAAAACTTCTATAGATACAACTGATGGCAAGTTTGGTAATTTTTTTATTGAAGTTATTTTTAATTTTTGTCGATAAATTAACAAGATTTAGCACAAATTCAATAAGATGTAAAAAACACCGGAGATTCAAAACATTGCCATTATGAACTTATTCCTGTCCATCACGTTTTACGAAGTAAAAGTAGTGACAATATTTTTAAATTTAAATTTAAAAATAAAAAATGTATTGTCTTGAGTTTAATTAAGTAAGTTCTACATAAATTTTTACTTTTGCAAATTCAATTCTTTTTTAATAGCTAAACAAACAATAGAAATTAGCAGACCTCTTAAAAAAAACATTAACTTGCTATATTTATGTGATTACTACTTACGTTTTAGCTTGAAAATAATAAAATAGAATAAATAATGTAAATATTAAAAATTAGTTTCAACTTTAAAATTAAAACTTAAATTTTTATTCTACCTAAACTTATGTTATAACTAGACCTTATTCATGGCCAAGAATAGGTTGACATGTGGCCACAATTAAGTTTATTATTTATGGGTAACAAAAATAACAACAACGATAACATAAACAACAACAACATCAACAGCAACAAGCTATTATTTTCCATTTAAAAATCATTTTTACAATAATAAGGTAAATAAAAATAACAATAATAATTATAAAATAATAGGCAATAGTAATAATTTATAACAATAATAATAATAACAACAACAAAAATTATAAATAATTATTATATTATATATTAAAAATTATAATAATAAGTAAAATAAAATGTTATTTCTTATTATAATAAGTTAATGATTAGTATGGATGGTGTCACTTATACAGAAGTCTGATCAAAGGAATGACACCATTTTTCAAAATAATATGACTAATAATAAACATATAGATTTAAAACATAGACATACATAAAGTAAACTTTTTAAAAATCATATATATAGGTAATAATAAAAGAGAAAAGAAAAACACAAAAAAATAAGGATTATTTATTTTAGTAATAGAAAAAAATTATAACAAAATATTTTTCAGAATTTTTTTTAATTAATTTTGATCAAGATTAAGAAAAGATGATAAAGGAGTTTGGAGTTAAAGTCTATTGAACTCATTCACAATCCACACGAGGCTCTTGTTCTATTCACAGATGCACCGATACACAAAAGAATTCTTAATATACCTTTGATTTTTATATGATGGTAAAATAAATTTTCCATTATTTATATTTTGCGTAGAGTGCGTATGAATTAGTCTACTTTCTATAAAAAAAGTTTGCGATAGAAGAAGGTAAATTTTTATTTAGAGAGTTAAAAACAAAAAGATTAGCAAACTTTACAAGCAAATAAAAAGATGGAATTTTAAGTTTTATAAAAGAATCTGATGCATCTGATTTGAAAGGTTGAATGTTTATTATTCTAATGAATTGGCGTTGAGATGACATTAGTTGTTAATATGATAGTTGTCAGTTTGATCCCAAACTTGACAATAATAACTAAGATGAAATGAAAATAATGCATAGTAAATATTTAAAAGAGTAACTTTATCAACATAATGTCAATAAAGTTACTCTAAATTAAAAACAAAAGAGGACTAAGAATGGAACCTTGAGGAACTCCACACGTAACAGGTTTGTTACTAGAAGTATAACCATTAATACTTACATATTGTTTCCAATCCAAAAGATAAGATCAAAATCAATCACTTACAACTCCACGAACTCCATAATGTTCTAACTTAGAAATCAAAATGCTATGATCAATGGTATCAAAAGCTTTTTGTAAATCGATAAAAACACCACAAGCAAAATGACCAGTATCAAGACCTTTTCTAATTTTTTCAGTTATACTTATCAGTGCGTGGCAGGTAGAATGGTTTGATCGAAAACCAAATTGAAACTCATTTAAACAGTTAAAAGAGTTTAGAAAAGAGTACACTCTAGAATACATTAATTTTTCAAGAAGCTTACTAATGTTAGATAAAAGAGAAATAGGTCTATAGCTAGTACATAAAAGTTTAAAGGCGTTTTTGAAAATTGAAATAATACAAGATAATTTTAAAATATCAGGAAAAGTTCCATTCATAAATAAGATATTAAATAGTTAAGAGAGAATATTTGAAAATCTGTAGTTAAAATCAATAAGATTGTTTGTAGGAATACTGTTTGGACCTAATGATTTTCTCAGCTTCAATTTAGATATAAGAAATTAAATTTCAGGAATATTTGTTGCAGATAAGAGTAGACTATGTAAGTTTGGATATTTAAGATATTTTTGAAAGTTGACGTAAGTATGATCTAAATTTTTTTTTATCAAAGTTTTTAAAATTTCTACGATATATTTTATGACTCTGCGGTATAAATAATTTGTTGAAATTGGGACAATTACAAATATGAGACAGAAGTTGTCAAATTTCCAAAAATAATATCATTAGTTATTAAATTAGAAAAAATATTGTCAATGATTGTAGCAGAGTGTTCAGTAATTCTTGTTGGCAAAGTAATAAAAGAGCGAATATTATAAATAGAAAGTAAATTTAAAAAGTCACAGACCGCAATGTCATTACTTGATTGTATCAAATTTATATTAAAATCACCCAATAAGAAAACAGATTTAATTTTTGCAGATATTTTTAGAAGTAATGCAGACATTATATTATTGAAAATATTTATGTCCATGCAAAGGTGTCTATAAATGCACCCAACAATAACATTTTTTGGAAAAAAATTAATTTAACAAAAGTGGATTCTAAAAAATTAGGTGAATAAATCATTAAATCATCTCTTTGTTTGTATACTAACTTTTTTGACAAAGATACAGTTGGTGTATGCTCAATGTTGTAGTTATCAATGAGAATTGGATGAATTGAGTGAATTTCTTTTTTTAAACGTTTTTCAGTAGCAGCAATAATAGCAAACTCAAAATTAATTAATGATAAAAAAAATGCTTAAATCCTCAAAGGGTTTTTGCAGCAATAAAATGTTTAGGTGATAAACAGAAAGTGCATTTCTTGTGTCAAACTTCAGGGAACAAAATTTGTTATAAACATTATGTCATAATATTTATAAGTTATGTCTAGTGATGCATAGATGTCTTTATTGGACTCTAAAACACAAGATGAAACATAGTCATTAATTTGGTTAGAAATTTTATTCAAATGTAACAATGGAGAAATGTTTGTAGATGGAGGTAAATCATCAGTTATAATAATTTTATTAGAAGAAAATAATAATTTAAGTTTGTTCTGGTACATCAGTGAATGGAAATATACTCTTAGTACAATTTACACAATGTTGCATTGAGCGACCTGATTGTAATAAATTGCACCCAGAATCATTGAGCCTGTTGCATTTTGTATGAGTCTAAAATGAACAAATCACACATTGAATTGATTGGCAACTTATAATTATTTTTTATTTTTTACACAAATAGCAATTTAAAGTCATAGTAGAACAACAAAAATTTCTGCAATAGAATAAAGAATGTAAGAGATATTATGTAGGAAATAAAAATAGTAGCTATGGTAATAATAATAGTAAAAAGCAAACAATAACAGTAAGTATGATTATTAGGAAGAATAACAAATTAACTTGAAACAAAAACAGTTATAATAAGTAATATTAACAATGATATTATTAACAACAACACAATGATCAAACAAATTTTGATTAAAATTGTATGATTTAATTAAATTATATGATTTAAATAAATAAAAATTATATGATTTAAATAAATAAAAAATTTAATAAAGTTTAACAGAAATGTAAATTAATAATAGAGTAATTATTTAACTATATATTATATAAAATAATGTAACTAAATACATAAATATATTGTTAATTAAGTTGTTAAAGAATGATTTAAATATATATTATGAAATAGTAAAATGAATAAATAATAATCTAATATAAAATAAGTATCTAATACAAATAATAATTAAAATAAAATAAAAAAATGATAATTACAACAAACACTAGCTACAATAATCTCTTCTAATACTTGATTTTATCTTTCTTCTTTTCCGCTTTTTTTTTTGTTTTCTTCTGTTTTTCTTTTTCTTATCTTTTTCTTTTCTTTTTTCTTTTTTATCTTTTCTTTTAGTTAGATTTAGGTGATTAAAAATTTGAATTATTTTTTTGTTTATTCTTTTTAAAGTTTATATGACATATACTCTCTCCTCCTTTTTATTTGGATTTATTTTGATGTTTTTTTTTAATCTATATGCACTTAATTATTATTATTTCTTTTTTTGTTAATTTTTATTTCTTTCTTTTTAAAATTTCTTACTTTATTTACTGATTAGATTTGTTGTTTAGTTATTAAAATTTTTGTTTAAATTTCTTTTTTCTTTATCTTTCCGTTATAAAAGCACGTCAGCCATCGTTGAAGACTCTCCAAGGTATATAAATATTACCAAATGAAGTAATAATCATTTCAAAGTAAAATATTTTTATTAACAGAATTAAATTTTATGATTGCTATTAAACAAGATAAATTAGTGGAATGTTTTTTACGTATTTTTATTTTCAAGGTCAGAATATTTGCCATAGTATATACACAATTAGTATAATTTTCAAACTCAGATAAAATAACGTAGCAATAATCTTATCTAACAAACTGAGGTTCCAAATATAAAAGTTGGATTATATTTTCATTTTAAAAAATTTAGAAAAATTACTAACTAAATATTTAAGACAAAAAACTTCTTTGAAAAGTGGCCAGGAATTGGAACTGATTAGGTATAGATGGTTTTACCCTACATAACTATGTTTATTATCATAAAGAATGGTAAAACAAACAAATTATCATATGTTTAAATGATAAAATAAATAGTTATGTAAATAAATGGTACAACAAACAAACTATCATATGTTTAAATAATAAAATAAATAGTTAAGTAAATAAACAATGAGACAAATAAGTTATAAACAAATATTAAACAAAAAAAACACAAAACAAACAGCTGAATAATTTTTGACAAAAAAAAACAACTACCAAGTTAAATTTTTGTAAAGTATCCATTGATTTTAACATAGTAGCAACAGATATGCTTCTAAATTTAAAACATTTTGTTATAACAAGGAATAAGTTAAAACAAATGTTGAAAACAAAAAACCACTAAAACATTCTTTAATTTTAAAAAACAAAAAACTATTTTACATTACATTTCTTTTATCAATAATAATACAAATATGTTAGAAATTAATAATAATTATTATTGTGCAAGTGTTGAGCTCAATGACAGTGGATGCTTTTTTTTTCATTATCTTAAAAAATTCAATTATATCACCTTTATTTCCTTTAATGATAGTATCTTTTAATTTACTAATTAAAAGCTAATTATACTTATTAAAAGTTAATTATACTTATTAAAAGTTAATTTACTATATTAAAAGTTAATTAGCTTTTCCACATATAACAAACACTTAAAAAAAGGAATTTGAACTACTCTTTGATAAATACTTTTTGTTTGTTTAGTTTTGTCAATACCAAATGAATGCAGATTCCAGATCAATGCAGCACATTTATAATGTGATAATTATCTTTGTATCCTTGTTGATTGATAGATGTTAAAAGCTATTATTAAATAAAACAAAATTCAATATTTTGCTTTTAATAGCCAGATATTTTGCTGTTTTGTTGTTTGATGAAACAAATAAACTCATTACTGAAAGTTTCTTTTGATGAATATAACATTTTGCTTCAAAACAAAAATTTGTTGTTTTGAAAATGTTAGTTAATAAAAATTAATCTGTTACTACATTAGGCATGACTATATAACAAGTATTTATATCTTGGGCAAAACGCAGCCAATTGAAATTGATTGAATGATAAAATGCAGCCAATTGAAATTGATTGAATGATTGTTTTAATTTAAAATAAATCATTGAAATAAACATTGAAATAAATAAAAAGATTTTGGGTGACAAAAAATATTGTGAAATCTGATGTTTATTGATTGATATCTGATGATTAGTAATTTGTTTCTAATAGATTTGAGCAGCATATGTTTCTTTTTTGAACAAAAACATTTACGATTAAATTGTAAGTAATTAGACATCACATCATTTTATCCTTCATAATAGTCTTGATTATTCAACATTCATTTGAGGATTAAGAAACTGGAAGATAATTTAATGAGCTTAATTTGTCTCTTTAAAAAAATAAAAAAATATTAAGAATTTTTCTGGTCTTTTGAAACCAATTTTTTTTTGTCGTAGTTTTTAAAGATCTTTGGTCCTTCACTTTTGCTAAATATTTTGCATAACAAATAGGTATTTTGCATAATGGCTAGATACATAATAAATTTTGAGCATTCTTCATAGTAAAAATAACCCTAACTATTGTAAAATTCATCTGCATTCAATATAAGGATCATTCTATTATTTTTATATAGCGAGGCATAGGCTACAAACGCTAATGATAACATCTGAAAAGATATCCAAGTAGATTATTAGCCAAAAATAATACAACTTCTTATTTCATTGCATTCATGTTTTGAAACTAGGTTTCTATGAACTAATTTGCAGAAAATACCATGTTAATAAAACTGTTTTAAATATGCACTCAATTTTTACAACAACAAGAGTTAATTGATTATTATTATTAATATTGCCAATATTTAGATATATAATCATCAAATAATACAACAAGTAATATAAACACTTTTTTGAAAAAAAAACAAATTATTTTAAGAAATTATGCATAAATATAAACTGTTTTTATACAAATTAACAAATATTAGCAGTTATAAGAATTCATTCTTTTTTTTACATAAAAATGTATAAATATTAACAGCTAAATCAAACATTAACAGTTAAAAGAATTCTTTTTTGAACATAAAAATGTATTAATGGTGTTCAAAACAAAATTTTAACAAAATTAACTTTTAAATAAAACTATTAAAAAATGTTTTAAGCAAAACCTTGTTTTTTAATTCATAACAATTTAATTTTTCAAATAATTTGTTATAAAAAAATGTCAAAACTTATAAATGACAGACTCGTATAACATAATATCAAATAAAAACATTGAAAAAAAAAACCATAAGATTTTATAACCAGAATACAAAGGGATTAGCTTCTCAGACACAATAATACTATTAAAAAAATACCATGAATACCCAACAAAAAATACCATGGATAACATACAAAATAATAAATAAACAATACTAATACTATACAAAACATGCTGTGAACATCCTACAAAAAATGCTGTGAACATCCTACAAAAAATGCTGTGAACATCCTACAAAAAATGCTGTGAGCATCCTACAAAATATTCCATGGATAACATACATAAAATGCCACAGATACCATACAAAAAGTGCCATGGATAATATGTGAAATATATAAAAATATTCTTAAATAAAAGAATAACCTTAGAATCAAAATCTTGCTAACAAAAAGGAAAAGTAAAAGAGTCATAATTGTCAATAAAGTTTTTGATATCTCCCCTTAAAAAGTTTGATATAAATAATCTCAGTTAACAAAAAACAATTTGTTAAGAGGTAGAAAATAAATTTTTCCTCCTTAAAAAAATGCACCAGACAGAATTTCTAATTATCTTCATTGATGGATACACTCATTTTAATCTACTAGAAAGAAAAAAGCAAGATGTTGGAGAAAAATTTTTGTAACTAATTAAGTAAATGTCACAAGTGAAACACAAATTTAATTAACAACATTTAAATAACTATTTGCTTTTTTTTAATTATATTTAAACAATCTTTTCAATAACTCTTTTCTAAAGCTATTATAAACCAATTGCTAGGAATGTACGAATTATAGACTTCATATATTATTTTCAATATTTGGATGGAACCCGTTTTAAAAGAGTGACATTAAAGAACTTACAAAAATTTCCCACAAAATAAAACATCTTACTTATGAAGAACAGTGCAATTATTTAAGCTTAATTCCATTAATTGTTAAATTAATAAGAAAATGGATCAATAAAATACATTAGTACACAAAAACCTTATGTTTACAAGCAATAGAGGGACACAGAAGTATTTTGTTTGAAAACTAATTAAAAAAACTGTAGTCAAAACAAACAAAAAAAATTACAAAGAAATTTTATAAAAATTTGGGATTTACAATTATTTAATTTACATATTAAAAGCATTTAATATTATCTTTTTATAATAATTAAATAGATAATGTATTAAAAATATTACTTTGAATTAGTTTTCAGATTTGATTCAATTAAATTTTCAAATTTATAGACACCATTGACACCATCTGAAACAGCTTGTTTC